GTAGGCCACACCCAAGGGCACAGTAAGAGAAGGGGACACACACAAGGCACTTCCATGGAACATTCTATCCTAAACAGGGCAAGGGGTAATATTACAAAGGAATAGGAGATCATAGCTCCACCCATGGGGCTGTAGGAAGACATGCTCAGGCACAAAGACAAAGTCACTTGGAAGAGCAAAGAAGAGCTGAGCAGTCTAGCAGCATGGGTGCGTGACTGCCACATCACCCAGCAGGGGAGTTAACTCAGTCAAGGTTGGTCTCCCACAGAAATTTAAATCTCAAGGGCCAAGTGTCTGTTTGGGAGATAGAGCTCTATTTCTTGGGGTGAATGCTGGTTCTTTTCTTCTTATGCCATATTCCTAGTCTTCTACTCTTTACAATGATAGGTTTTTTCAGACTGAATCTCTTAGCCATGTGTATTTCTGCAGACTGTCTCACTTAAAGCAAACCTGTTCATAGTAATCTAATCACTTCTTGCCTACACCTTCCTTGAACTCTGTTTACTTATGCCAAGTCTGCCAAGAAACAGTGACAACAAATAGTGGAAAGGAGAGGTGGCACATAGTGCTGGGAATTTTGAGATGGTAGAGAGAATGGTGGTCTGGGTCAGTATGGTGATCTGGGCCAGGAAGTTTGTCTTCTGGAATTTCTTTGCTTTTTACTTACTGAGTAACAGCTGGGACTCACATTCAGTGGGGACTGGTAATAATAACTGAAAATCCAGTATTTATGCCTTACTTTCTTTGTTAGATTTCTTTCTTTTTGCCCACTTGCATTCTTCCTTGCCATAGGAATCCCTGCCTCCTCCTAGTGGCCTGAGGGCTGGGCAGGCCTGAGTGTCCGGATCACTGACCCTGAGGTGTTCTTCCTTTTCTGGATGTCTGGAGCATAGCCCCTTTGACACCAGCCTGCTATGTGGGAGGATATGTCACCTTTCACCAGCTTCACACAGCAAATTCCTGGTGCCAGTCTTTGCTTAGGCAGAGGGGATCACAGTGATCCTTTGAGCCCCCCGATGCTTTTTCAACTGTCTCTGGGGTTCATGCTGTGTAAGAAGGGTCCTCATTTTCCTACCTTAGAGTCTCTACTATCCTATGAGTGCTTGTGAGCACCTACAACCACTTGAAGTAACAAGAAGTATTGTATTTGTGTAGTGTTGATGTCATGTGAAGAGTCCAAGCTATTGTGTCAGTATTCCCTCACTGCTTTGTTGTGATGAAGACAGAGTGGCGATTATTTCTGAGTTTGAGGGGAAGCTACAGAAGCCCTTAAGCTGGAAGGGCTTGCCTGAGGGTGGAGTGGCAGACATTGAAATTGCCTGTGCAGTGCAGAGCTGCTTTTACAACATCTGATCTGACAAGGGTGGTTTGGTCTTGCTGCAAACTTCCAGGGAGAGAAATTCTGTGTCCTGTCTGACAGCCTTCCTGGTAAGACATTTCCTCCTTAGGGTAAACCAGAATTCCTTTCTTTTGTCAGAGCAATAGCTCTGCCCTCTACCCAACTCCTGCACAAGATGTTTCTCTCAAGACAACCATCCACCTTATTGCAGGGCCATCAGGATGCCAGGGCCTGGCACTCATGGGGACCAGTGATAGTTGGTGTGTTTTTATGTATACCCTTTTTTATTTGCAAAGGAATTGTAGATGGCTAACTAAAAGTTAGATTTCACAGGCATTGCT